GAGCCACATGTCAGCATGGTGCAGTCTCTATGCTTCAAATGAAGGGCGACTGCAGCAGTATAACACGGTGCTCCCTGGTGGCGTGTTTGTGTTTCGTGTATACGTGCGTGTGTGTGTCTAAAGGGAGTAGTCTCTTTTAATTTGTGCTAGATACGCAGAAAAAACATACAAGTATTATCTTATCGACGCCTGGGCAGATGGGAGCGAGGCGTCCACTTACGAGGAAACCTGAGACATCACAACAACAACAACCACGGCAGCTGCGGCAAAAGTTCCTCTTAAGGCTTTATTAAATATCACCACAAATGTGGTAAGAGCAAATCTGAAGAATCAAATTGAAATGTAAATCATCCCCACACCTGTCCTACGTCCTTTGCAACGCCTCTGCAGTTCAGCACCATGGAGAGGTCAGGATGAGTCCAATTGAATCCAATACACCTCAGCTTGTCCTCTAACACATTGACATCAGTGTTGTTCTCCAGTCTTCACAGTTTGAGTCTGTGTTTGAGTCCAGGTCTGAATTCAATCAGAGTCTTAGTCAGAGAAGGAATGTTTAATTTTACAAAAAGAAAACAGGCAAATGTAGTTACAGTTGGAAATGCCTGTTAGAAACGAACTGTCACATGTCCTGTTTTGAATTGTTTTCTTTTGTGTTTATAATACAGAACTGAAAGACTGCTAACATTAAGGAAAATGAGCTCTTACTCATTTTGCAGATTCGAACAAAACAAAAATACATGTCATTCTGTATGTTGTGGCCCATGGGACACATTTTTGTTTTTCAGAGAAATATTATTTTAATGGTTGATTATTAAATTGTGCATTTTCAAATTTTCTGCAGATTTTTAAAACAAATTAATGTGGATAAGAGCATAATACAGTGGTCGACACCCAGACACCAAAAATATTGAGCGATGATAGTATGTGGGGTAGTGTGTGCTGATGTTATGAAAACAATAATTTATTGCCAGTAAACAATACTGTCCTGAGGATGGTGGCTATATAAAGCAGACAGGTTGTGATCATATTAATGGGAACAGCAGTGTAGTTAACCAGTTCAGCCCGAGAGTTCACCTTAACACTGAGGTATGTGAAGCATCACAGTCTGATTCTAAACCTCATAAGATGGACCATCGCTTTAGGTCACACTGTGCCCCATTTACTAGGGATGACATGGCAAGGGAACATGAAAAGAGCCAGGAAAATCGGTTCTTTTTCAATGATGGAGATGAAATAGAGGAAGTGCTGGATGGGGTCAGATTTATTGAAGATTTAGAGGAATCAGAAAGTATAGTTGAAAGACCAACCAGTCTTTATCAGAGCAGTAACACTGAGAGAATTAAAAAGGGAAGTGATGTAAAGGAAAGAGATGATGACTCTAAAGTTACAAGAATCACTAATATCCAAGGAGCCAGTAAGAAGTGTGAGTCATCTCAGTTGGGTTCAAGAGAAAGAGAGAGACAAGGTAAAGCAAGAGGGAGGAGGGGACCGGGTCTCACCGGTTCCAAGGACACACACCCCATGGTCTCTGTGTCCCCAGAGAGCAGTGGCAGTATAGGAGAACCGCCCACTCTTCCTACGGTCAACAGCAAGCCACTGTGGTGGCAGCAAATGTGTCCAGGAAGGACTGAGGATCAATAATTGATTTAATTCTGCTGGTAAATGTCCTGCTTAGGTTAGAAACAACACACAACAGCTACTTTAAAAAAGAATTTATTTATTAATACAGTGGTATACTTAGAAATGTGTCGCAAAGAAAAAACAAACAAAACACAAACAGAACTGAATTGAATGGAACTCAAAATAAATAAAATGAATGTCAGCCACACAGGAAAATAAACTAGTGTTGGGTTGAAGCAGTGTTATTATATATATTTATATATATATATATATATTAAAAAAAAATTCAAGTACTGATGTGCCATAATAAATTGTCTATTAGTACAAAAATACATTTCAGGGCACACAATACAGCATCCAGTATCACAAATAATGGGAGGGACCACTCGTCACAGCAGACCCCCCCTCAAGAACATCTTTTAAAATCACTTAAACCAAGCACTTCTCTAGTTTGTAAATAAGAATAAAAAGTTTTCCGACCATTAAAAATGCCTTCAGTAGTCTGCTCTTGTGTTTGTGTGTATATGTTGGTAAAAAAGTCGGAGTTATTACTGCTTCTGTCAGTTCCAAGGCTCAGGGGTTTTAACCAGAATATAAACATAACCAATGTTTATCCGCTTAGTCTTTTTTAAACAAACATTTTTTTAATCTCTTTTATACAAAATAACAAAGATGTACAAAAGTTCATTTACAGAGAACCAAGGCCATATGCTAGCAGTATGTACAGCCACGTCTTTTTTAAACATCGTCTAGCTTCTTGTATTTCCTCAGACGTTCATATGCATAGCAGTAAAAGAAAGCATACCGTTTTCATCAGCCTCAGTAATTCTCGTGTGCTAAATCCAAGTTCACTGGTTATGAGAAAATGCAGAGACGTTGTCTTCTTCTTCTTCTTCTGACCGAAGGATCCCCCGTGTTTTTTAATGTGTCACTGAAAAGTTAAAATGCAGGTAAGGCATCACTGCTTGCAGTGTAGAATGGGGTTTTTCATGTGTTCAACTTAGTAGTACCAGGCTTCTGGACCTGAGTCATAGCACATGCATAGATCTCTAGACAGCAGGAGTTTGTAAAATCAAGTCAGTATATTTATCTACGGTAAAATGTTGCTACAAAACATCATTTTGAAACAGAGAGCCCTGTCACAACAAACGAGCGTCTCCTACTAACACTTAACCTTCGTTCGTTATTACTATTTTTTATGGTTAATGATGC